TTAATGGAGAGAACACGCTGCTGTGAATATGTAGTTTTGTCTTACCATTCTATTCAGATCTCTTTAGGGTTCGGAAATGTAGTATGTGGTGCAGTATGTACCAGACCTCAAAATGAACTTTATTTCTGGTAGCACTTCAGCGGATAAGATAAATTTGAGTCTGACTGTGTTGTTACAAGTACTGAGGTCATGGTTCTGAGAGTGAAGTTAACACGATGCCTATTTAAAAGTCCAGGAGACGCAAAAGTTTCTACAACTTTAATCTTTTCCCAAAGCAGCATTTGTATGTGTCTTTATTGTGGAAACACATAGAATTATTTTTTGATCAGAAATGAAAGCTTAGTCATATGTGATATTTAAATCTCAGCTGGAAAAAATAATCCAGTGACAGGATAAGGTTATGAAAGTACTAGCTCCTGCAAAGGAGCAGTTCAGTGTTACTGAGTAGGTCTGCCTGTAACCATCACCCAAAGAAAACTGCTTCTGTTTGATCAGTAGCATCAGGAAATGTCTGATAGAGAGGCCCTTTGTGTACAAATGCCAAGTGGCTGTGCGTTCTCCTCCTTTACCAAACCCCCTTCCCCACTCTGGTTTTTGTAGTTAACTCGGGCACTGTGTGCAGTTTAGCATTAACCTTATCCCCCTTAGATCTGGACTGTGGGACCAGTTGGTTTCCTTCAGCTCAGTGCATGGATACAAAGAGCCTGCCTTAGTCCAGCTCTTAGGAGGATTGTGTCACTTCTGCCACTGCCTGCACTACTTTGGGAGCAGATGTGGTTTATGCATGCACTGCTCCTAGATCTAAGCATCCTTGAAAATGAAACTTCAGCCTTTGTCTTTCTGCTTGTTCAGAAAGCACTGTTGGGATCTCATTTTGGGAGAGTATTTGGCTGAGTTGTAAGTCCTTTCCGTCACCAGACCTGCCCCCCACTCCGGTTTGTTGCAGCATTACATGCACCTTGTGTGCTGACCTGCACATAGACGGAAACCTAATACGAGAGAAGTCCTACCTCTGGTATGTACACCAAATAACTGCTTCTAGATTTTGCATCAGGAACGTGTCACATGTCTGTGAAACTATTTTCTTCAGATAGTTTTTATGTGGTAGTTTGCTCATTTGCCTGGAAGTCCCGCTGTCTTCTCCTCACCTGAGTTTGCATTTCAGCTTGAAACTCTTGGCTTATACATGAATATATAAGGTAATTTTTATTTTCACTTACATAGAACTAAAATGATACTTGCACAAAAGGTGCCCTAGCACGTGTTTGTTCTGTCCTTGGGCAAACTAGAGCATTCTGTCTGAAAACTTCTATGATCTAGAGAAAGAAAAAAACTTCTTCCCCTTCCTTCCCTCCCTCCTTCCTTCCTTCCTTGAAAAAGCAGCTATCCTTTCTTTCACTGGAAAATCTTGTAGCAAGGTCATGAATTTGAATGATGATGGGGTTTTTTTAGAGTAGGTTCATAAGGAGTTTGGATTATGACTCTTCAAAGCTATGGATTTATCAGTAAATTGTGGCTGGACTGAATTCCACCTGGAATTCAAGATGTCAGCCTGTGTAGCATTGATTTGTCATGTGATAACTTCAGTAAGAGGGGAGTTCAGTCAATGAAAAGGTAAGTTTGGAAGACCAGCAAGAAGAATCGATGCTGATACCAACAGAAAGCTTAGTAAAAAGGAGGAGAATGCTGGGAAGAGATGACTGCAGGTAGGACATCAAACTTGAGCTTATGATTTTATATTGTGTTAAGAAAAAGTCTATTTGAATCACAGATAGTTAAGTAAAGAAATATTTTTTTGAAAATCTATGTCACTTCACAATCCCCACATACAACGGAAGCTGAGATAACCTCAGTAAGTGTAGATAGCTCACACGTATATCATAAACCTTGAGAAACTCTTTCTTCAGTAGTCCGTGGTCCTGGAGTTGAGTAATTAAATGAGGATCACAGCTCATTAAAGAAGAGAGTTTTTGACCCTCTTGAAATGAGAGAAAAATTGAAAGCAACATGGGCTTATGCTTATCATTCGGAGACCAAAAGGAAAAAAAATGTATATATGTTTTTGAGTTCTAGGCCAACATCGTGATGTTTTAAGGTCTGACTTGTGCTTGTTGGTCAGTCGGGACTAACAGGAGTAAAATATTAGTGCTGTGTGTGGTTTGGCTACAGGCAAAGAGCATGCAATGAGGCGGTAGTCCTATTAAACTCCTCCACATTGTGCTGGAACATCTAATGCTCTTTTTTGTGTACTTTCTGACTTGTGTATGGATATTCTTCAGCTCACATTAGTAATTCAGCTGAAAAGGGTACCAACAGTGGTGACTCTTAACACAAAGCGTAGTTTTCACGTACCCCAAATATTTAAAACTTGATTTTATTGCCCTTGTCTAATCAAACAGTAATGTGGCAGATAATTAACAAATCCTGTCACACATTTTCTCAGAAAAATATTTTTCCTCTAGCAGGTACGTGGGTGGGTAAGTAAAGTTCTGTTGTACCTGTCCTTGCAGTGACTATAATCAATGTATTGACCATCTCGCTGGGAGGTAATGCTCGGCTGCTCTGTTGTCTGGCTGGCTGGCTCTCCGAAGGGCCTGCCTTTGTCACACTTTTTTCAGAAGCTTTAATAATACTGCCCTTGGTTCACCGGCTCATACTGTTGATGCTACAGTCTTGCAGTGGCTCCTCAAAATTTTTCCTGGCTTTTGCTATAGAAAGGCAAAACTGATTCCCAAATCAGAGAAGCCTCCGGGGCTGTAGTATGGCATTTGAAACATAAAAACCACATTCAGTGATATGAACTAATACTGAGAAAATGGTAACATCAACATGTTAAGTAATACCTTGTAATTCTCATATCAATAAAAACATATTTGTCCAGAATTAAATTAGTCATGGAAAATAAATAGTGCTCAAGACACTGCTAGCCATGGCTTTAGGAAAATACTTAAATTTCCCACCTAAATAACCTACTTGAGAATTTCCTAATGCAGAAATGTTCACAATTTCTAGGTAAGTAAAAGAGAAAAAATAACAAAGGGAAGTCTATATGCAGGAGGCACAGAAATTTGGAAAAATAAATTAATAATAATTGTGCCTTGTTTTTCTGCATCATCAAATACTTTGCCTAAGTTGCTAGGTAGTAAGTGAATGTCTTTTAAGTAACTAGAAAAGTGCAAATTTCGGATTTTTCAGCTGTTCCATTATGCTTCTGAAACATAATGGAAAATAAGTATGCTATGTCACATAACAGAAGTTAAATATATTTTAAGATTGTGCTCTCAGCCTAAGCAGATAAGATGGGAAGATACACAGCAGTGTAACTCACCTTCTGTGACTGAATCGAGTGATATGAGGTGCAGAAGAGAAACAGTTCAGTAGGGCTAATGGCAGCCACCTCAGCTCGCCACCCTGTCATTTCTCTCTTTGTTCTCTTTGTTTTCATTCTTGCTTTCTTGGAAAACACAGAGGGAAGCTATCAGGTGGAATAATTCTGGCCTCAGCTCTCCATCCCAAGTGTTCTTTTTTCCTTCCCCTCACCCACCCCAAAAAGCTGACCAGGTACATGTGTGCGGTCCGGCACTCCTTCATTGACAACACAAGTACGGAGTGATGAACCAATGGATGCAAAAGTATAATTTAATGGGAAATCTGAAAGAAAAGTCTGAAGAGATGCAAGAAGAGAATGAAAACGGTGTGAAAGAGGGTAGGCTGGAGTTGTACTATTACACAGTGGGAGGGTAGTTGAGTGAGAACGTCTGTCAATCTAGAATAAAGACTATGCTAGTAAGAAGTTCAGAACTGCTGAGATACAAATCTGGAATCTTTTTTGGAGAGAAATGCAGTAATCTGTGTAAGCTTTCTTTTTCTGTCTGAAGAAGCTGACTCCCACTGCCAGTTCCTATTCCTTCTCTTTACGGCTGATGGGTTTTTGTCTGTGGAAGGCAGCGTGGACTGGGGGAAGAGATGCAGCCATCGTCGTCTGGGCGAGCAGGTGCCCAGAGAGATTCCCGTGTACTCCTCACCGAGGGCTCTGCTTCTCTCCTGAAGTGCTAATACGTGTACACAAGCTGCCTCAGAAAGGACATTAACTTTAATCTTGTTCTCAATATCAAAGTTATACTTTAGGATGGTTTTATTTAGAATCTCGCTAATTGTCAGTGGATTCCTTGTCTAACAGACTATACCTTAAGATGCCATCTGTGTGAGGAGAGTCATGCTGCTGGCTCAGTCAAAAGCAACTGGATTGGAATAGCTCCAGTGCTGTTACAAAGCAATGAGTTGGCCAACTGCTAATTTAAAAAATGAGAGACAAAAATAGGCATCTTAATGCACTGTTCTGTCTTCATTAGAAGTGTTGGTGATGGGGCTTTTAGTTTCCTTTACAATGACAGTACACGCTGCTCTGGGCAATACATTTAAACCTTGATCCAGTACAGTAAACGTGCTCATCTTTAAGTGTAGGAAAAGTTTTATTGACTTAGGGTTTTTTCCCATGCTCTAAAATGTCTGTGCTGGTTTGAGGCCTTTACCGTAAGTTTTCACAAGCACTAAAATCACTCTTGAGATTTTAGTGAAAGCTTTTTTGAATATCCTGCTTTGCGGGATTCTTTCCATTTGCATAAATGTTGTCTAGAACACTTGGACCTAGAGGTCCAGGAATCCACCTTGGGAGTCTTTGTTGTCTCAGTAAATTTTAGATGACCTGGTCTGGAGTGCTGATCGTGCTACCTTTGGTTTAACATAAGCTATGTTAAGCCTACGTCAACTGGCAGATATAGCTACCCTTCCTATTCTGGCACTTTGTAGGTCATGAGATTTGTCACTGTTTGGGAGGGGGGGGAACAGGGAGAGAAAAAAAAAAGAAAAATTGCATTTTGTGAGGTGAGTATGAAGTTAAGGTAAATCACGCGTTGTCATCCACTCATACTGCTTTTGCCACAGAATCAGAGGTGTTTTCATGTAGGTGACTATTTAATTTAGTTTCCACTTTGATACAGCAGCAAAGACTCCGTCCGCCTCGGCCACCGCCTCCAAAGATACAGCGTTCATCTAGGCCCGTGAGTAGTCGGTAGTTTTGTTTCCCTGCCACAGCTTAACACTGCCTGAATTACGCTCTTAGTAGCATTACTAAACCTTGGTAGTTTGGATTGTCAAACTTTGCAAAAAAGCAATGTGTGAATTATGCTCCTAAACTCCCTTCTTCTCTGCTGCGGCACAGCCCTGGGACCTGCATTTATTCTGCTTGTCTTTGACGAGTCCTGCAGCTTTCAGTCAGTTCTGCAGGTAACCGATGCTGCTGTTGCAACATTTGTTTTTACTTTTGCGGTGATTTCTTAAACAAAAAGTCTTGCTAGGCTGGCATAAGTTTTTAGCCAGTGAGCTTTTGAAGACTTGCACTAAACTCAAATATGAAAGGAAGCAGAAGTCTGAAGAGAAAGTATTTATTCTCTACAAGTTACGCTTTAAATTAATTTGGGACGCTTAATTTTTCTCCATGGAATAGATGAGTGAATACACATGAAGAAAGTGAAGTCTCTATTTGGGCGGTGGAACATTAGTACCACATTATGGATGATATACATATATACTTTATGTTCATTTAAAATGCACGCTGGGACTCTGTGTAATTCCATAGTATAAAAATGTAGGCACAGCATATTGGCCAGAGGAGGGGACTCTTCCATAGAAGAACTACACAGAAATTATTGTCAGTGCAATGCCTGTACTGTCTTAGGCAGGGATCCCTTATCTCAGCAGTTTTTCATTCAAAACACTAACTGCAGGACAATTGTTATATATTGACTATGCCAGATGGCTGCAGAACTGGGGACTGGGCTGGATCTGCACCAGTGATTTTTTTTTTTTTTTTTTTTAAGTCGTAGTGGTGTCAGTTTAGAAGGGGTGTTGTTTTTTGCAACAACCTTGGAAGATACTTATTTCTATTCAGGACTTTTGCTTTATGAATATAATTACCCCAAAAGGCAAATACATCTTACTCCTTGCTTCCTTACACATACATGTATGTGCACAAGAGAGAGAGAGATGCAAGTTTTCAAATCTAATCTTGCTAAAACTTGTTAAAAATATGTTTCGGATGAGCAGGCAACTGGTTAACAAGTGCACTTGGGTGTGTGTTAACTTTTGATCTTTGGTGCATGTTCCTGTGTTACATTTCAATAGCATGTGTTTCTTTCCCTCCCTCTTTTTAACTCTGGGTGTTTAGCTTAACAGAGTCATTTCTATGGATTCCTGCTCTGAAGATTTCTGTTTTCTGTGTTTAAAAGGTAGCATTGACTATGCTTGTATGTGTTCTCTTAAACGTAATTGATGTGGGAGAGCCTCCCAGATACGTTAACTAGGAACAAACTTTTTCTGGTGCTATGGGGTTCCCACAGTGCTCCGTAGCCCTCCTGTTTGGTGTTTGGCAGGTGTACGAGGGCACAGTGTGATTGCTCGGTACAAAAGTTGCTAAACAGGGTTGTTCAGATTGAGTAATTCATTACATCCAAGTCTTGCTAAGACTGTTTAATCTCCCAGCTGTAGAGCATTAATAGTCCTCACTATAATGTGTTTGTGTCAACTGTCTTTGCTCCCAATGTGACTGATAAAAGGTTGGAAATGTAATAATAAAAGCTCCTGTTGCATTCATCTAGCTGTGTCAATAAGTGGAACAGAAATGCTTCATTCATCAAGAGGAAATTCAAGATAAATGTAAATGATTATAATCACTTCCAAAAATATGCTTGTACCAAATATACATAAATTTGTTGTTGTTCATAACTGTTATTTGGCTTTTAATAGTTGAAACACATTTTTGTGTGTGTAAATAATACTTTGTGCAGGCTGCTTTTTCCCTCTCTTAGTCTTGGCATATATTACAGAGGTGGGTATTGGCAAGTAATTTATCCTAGCCTTTTACAGCAAGCACTGAATGAGGAGACCAGGTCGCTCTGCTCTTCCAACCAAGGCCACGTAATACCAGAATCCCTGAGAACTGCTTACTGTTTTCAGGATATATCTGTTCTGAGGAGGAATCCATGGGCACTAGTCCTTGCAATATGAGTCATTACTAATAATAAAAACAAAACCACAGACCAAAGAAAGGTTAAGGAAGCAGAACAGATATGTTCTTTACATTCTGCTGTTTTGGAAATGAGTTGTGGTGGTATTATGAAAGAGAGAGGGTTGTTGCTTATAATTAAGAGAGATCTGTTTGGTTTAGTAGTGGCTGTTTGGAAACTTCATTCCATTAGAAAAAGTTAAAATATAATAATTATGCATAAAGTTGATGGGGACAGTAATAAGCACATTTAACCCTTCTGTGCTGGATGTTTACCTTTATTCTTTTGGCTCTGTGCTCATGTAATTGGATTTCTCTCATACTTTTGCATTTGATAAGCATTTAACCTTGCCTATTTGGCTACATAAGGCTCAAAATCCAGCCATGAATTGGCTTGATTCCTGGCTTTTCCCTGCAGTCCCCCGTGAACAATGCTCTAAATCCTACTTAGCATGTCACCCTGCACTTTTCTGGTCTGGTGGCCCCCTGGAGCCATGCAAAACTCTCATCTCTCTCCCTCGTCACCATCACTCCCCCAGGGTGCCACCCAAAAGGTGAAAGTGTTCACAGCATGATGACAAGCCAGCTTTACACATCATCTTCCAGCTCCGATTTAATTAAACAGGTTTCTTTCTTCCTCTTTTTTTCTCTTTCTCCTTCTCGCTCTCTTCTCCCCCCAGTTCCTCTTGCTTCTCTCCCCCCTCTCTTGCACGCACTCGCTCCCTTCTTGCTCTCTCTCTCTCTCTGTTTTATTAACCCTAATGAAGCAGTATTCTTCATCGATCCTGCTGATTGCCAGCCCATTCCTTTTGTTTGTTGGCACCGAGCCATTCAGCCGCACTCTGACAGCTCAGCTCGTCTAATTAGCTCTGTTGTTCTTTTCCCCATGTTTCACCACGTTGCAAGTTCAGTTGAAGTTGCCACAAACTTAATCCTTCCATTCCTGCCATAAATTCACGTTCTTAAGTCGTCTTTATTGTAGAGAGGAGCAGCCTTGTGTGGGGACTGATCTTCAAGACCTTAACATCTGACCTTTTTATAAGCCCTTTTTCCTAAGAAATAGTGGCAGTTCTCTGGGTTTCTTCATCATATCTGCTGTACACCATTTCCTTTGAAATGAAAATTCAATACAATAATCCTGCTACTATCTTCTGCATACTGCTGTGTGGCTTTTTCCTGGCAAGAAAATTTGAGGTTTATGTGCCTGGCGGGGGGAGAGCCCAGAAACACCTCACCCCCCAACAAATAATAATTAAAAAAAACCCAAAACCAAAAACTTGCAGAGGTAGGGGGAAATCTGCATCTATTCTGTCATTGCAAACAAATTCTTTACTCATCCGAAGAGCGCCTAGGTTGTGGGCCTTTAACAGCTTCCTTTGCGTTGTGGCTGTTCAGGGAGCACAGGCTCGGGGAGCTCAGAAGTTGGCCTGTGTTCCTAACTTCATTTGAGGGCTTTGGGCACTGCTGGTGAAACTAGCGTTCAGCGAAGCCAACAAATCAGACTCCGCTTCAGGTAAGGCAGTGCTTCCTTAATAAAAAATGGGAAGCCTGTTGGTACAGCCTCACCCTGATGCTGCAAATGTTCATTCCCACATTTGACTCGAAGGGCTAAGTTCACCAACAGGATTGCTCACTAGTATCGGCAGGCACGTGCGTGAACTGTGCCTGTATGGTGATCACGTGTGCTTATTCCTTTCCGTGAAGTAAAGCTTGTTTGCTTGTGGAGTTAATGCAAGTAGATTAAGCTTGATTTCTGAATATTAGAAGGTGATGGATATGTTGTTTAAGATTGGATCGGCAGCAACATCATCTTCCACAGAAAAGCTTTGGATTTTATTACAGACAACAAAAGATACACTAACATTACATTAGGGGTGATAACGATAATATGCCTGGCAAGGGTTTCTGTTCAGCTGCTGAAAGGAAGCAGATTTTTAACAAAGAATGAGCTATGTTTTTCATGTTGTAACATTTATTCTAAGTACAAATTTTTCAGTGCTCCTTTACACAGAAGTCTTCACTTGAGAAGCTGGGTTCCTATGAACAAGTGGACAAAAGGGTCACGATGTCAGAGCTGAACTCCGCTTTCCAGTATAACGTACAGCAACACACAGGATTTTCCAATTTTACTCTATCAACTGACTGTGCAAGGGGAAGCTCATATTTAGGAAATCTTTTATTGGAAATTTAGCCTGTACCAAACAGGACAGTGGAACAAATTGTCATTGCTTTGCTCTAGCTAACAGTCAGTGACAAGCATCTATGTTTCACTTGCTATTCAAAAAGAGCGGGTTGTTTTGTCCTTAAACAAGTTGTGGGTCCCTGCAGTTTATGTTCATACTTTATGTTCTTTTGTGTATCTATATTCATTTGTAACATTGTTTTGCCACAAAAAATAAAGAAGTTTAAAAGCAATTCTGAATGGAAGATACCTTGAAGGTAACGATGGTTATGCGTATTTTGTTATTTATGTCTGTCGTTTGATCAACTTCAAGTATTTGATGAAATGTCTTCTATGTGTGTGTATGTAATAGGTTCGCCCGCCAAGACCTCATGTTGTTAAGAGACCCAAGAGCAATATTGCTGTGGAAGGACGAAGGACTTCAGTTTCTAGTCCAGAACAGTAAGTTCTGCTGCTCTGCTTCTCTCTAGTTGTGTCAACAAACAGTGCATTCAGAACTGGAACTAGCCAAAGGAGAAATTAAAAAATACTACAGATCAAAGTAATTTTTTAACTAACAAAAGATTTGGTTTTTAATTTTTGGAACATTTTAGAGGAAGTGTGAAAGAGCAAGAAACCAAAGTCTACTTCTTGGAAAGTTCTGGTTTGCCAAGTTAGACATAATCTGATCAGGCTGTTTAGTGAAAGTTTTCAGGTTTTGGAGCTTTGTTCACTTCTTTGTTGTCTTGTTTTGAATTATGTTTTAGATGAAATTGTTAGCCACATCCCTGCAAATCCACTGTTCTTGCCAGAGTTCACCTGGAAGACAGAGAATTGTTTGTTTTATAGTAATGGCAGTAAGGGTTGTCTCTCATGCTTTTTAGAGTCTCATTAACAGAAGATCTGTAACGAGCTCTGTAGTGAAGGCTTGTAGAGCTTAACTGTCTTGCATAGTACTAGCAAATTTATCATCTCTTTAGATTTGACTACGAAGTAAACAGGGGTAGTGTTGCAAATACATTGTACTGCTGTAGCTTACTGCAAGTGCATATAATGTGTTGGTTTCCCACATCTCTCCTGTTCATAGGAACAGTATATTCTGTTACCTTGGAGAGATTTTTTCAGATAGTTTAATGAATGTCACATATTAAAGTATTTTTTACAAAGAAGACAATACCGTGTATTGTTGCAGGTATTCTTAACGCGTTGCCATAGTTGAGTTAAACAATAGGCCATCAAGTGAAAACCTAAAAAGAAATCGGATATATTGAACCTTACCAACGTAGCGCAAAAGACACTATTGTGTGTGACAAATAGACGTGTAGGCTGCAACAATATGCATTTTGGATTTAAAATTATTTGGAATCTTTGGAGCTACTTCAGCTCTTCAGAAGTACAAAAGATTCAACAGCACTAAGTTCTGACTGGATACAGAGGCTGGTATTGGCTGCACTTCTTGAGGGTCGGAATAAGCAGGTTGCCTCCTCTCAGTTCAGAATTTGGGAATCTTAAGAACTGTGCATTTTGCCTGGGGCAGCTGATCTTAGAAGAAGGTGGCGTGAAAAACGTGGCTAGAGCGGGGACAGACCTGCTTGGCACTCCAGAGGAAACAGCTGAGCAGTAAGAACAGCAGGCGACAGAGCCAGTGTACGTTTTCCGAGTCGTGGCAAGCCTAAACCGGTATTCCCCGCACGTGAAGCATCTTCGATGCTGTCCTTGAACAGTGAGCGGAGTAGCATTTTCCAAATGTCCAGTGTCGTGGCAGCGCAGCCTTAGCACGGGAAGTCACACTGGAACTGCTCACAGACTACAAGCAAGAGACTCGCGGGCCGCGAGATGGTCGCACTGATCTCATCTGTCAGAGATTTCCCTGTAATTCATCTCTACTGCAGCACAAAGTAATCGCTTATATCATAGCCGCTTTGCATTATTTGTTTAGGTCCCAGGCTGCGGTGGCTTTATTGTCAGTAAAATGCAATGCTTTAGCTGGTGCCCAAGGTTACAGGATATTTGCTGTGTCTCAAGATTCTAAAATCCCAGGAAAAGAAAAGTTGTTGGTTTCTTTAAACCCACCTTTTCCCCACGTGTGTACCAGTTCCCTGGCACCACTGTTTGGGGGAAAAAGAGGTGGAGGTTGGGTCCTCCCCCTGCCCCCAAAGTTAAGTGCCTGGCTAGCTTTTTCCCAGCCACTCGAGGACGGGAGATATTCTGGCTTTTAGCTAAAATGAATGGTCACCTTTAAATTCTACAGGATTATGTATCCATTTTAGAGTGGAATTTGGTTGCCCTCTTGTGGAGTAGATTGCAAGTCCTGCAAAAGGGTTTCTGCTGTTACAGGGTGGCAGCTGTCCCTGCACAGAGATTATGGGAATTTTTAAAATAGAAGTTTTTTCTTAATATTTAATATGATGACTGACTGCATGCAGGTGAAGGATAATTGAGTCAGTTTAACCGTTACCTGTGTTTCATAGGAAGGATTATGCATATTTAGATTCAAAAGCTGCTTGACATTCCAGTGTGGCTTACTGCTAAGTATCAGGACAGAAATAAACATAAACATGAATGATAAACATAATATTTATACTGATGCCAGTAATCTGTTGGATTACAATTATTATTTTACTTGGTTTTAATTTATTGCTGTTAATTTTAGTGAGTCTTTACAATTCAGCTGCTTTCACAGAGTAAACTAGGAAAATTTTTTTGTGGAAACGATTGACAATAATCTACAAAAGATAATGAAGATGCTTTGTAGTTGTAAACTGACTTATTTTTCTTCATGAGCATTTTACTGATAGATTTTTTCCATCTTTTAAATGTGGAAGAAAACCGGGAAATGTCACTCATGCCACTGACACTTGCTATGTGGTACCAGTTGTGGTCTCTTCCTGATGCTTCACAGCTTCGATATTTTATCCAGCTCAAATGCAGCGTCACAGGGGGAACTGATGTATTTTCATTCTTTCCTGTCGTCAGCTTCAGGTGACAAAACAAACTTTGAGGTAACTACTTCCAGACAGTTAATTGTAGAGTATTGCACTCGACCGCATCCCCTGGAAGGTGTCTGGGTAGTGTTTTAACAGAAGCAAGTTGGGGCAGGGGGCCCCGGGGCACACGACACACAACGATGGTGACACTGACATCACAGTTGTGATTTGGGAAGGACAAGTGGAGCAAATATCTAACCTTGCACTTGACTAAAGCTCAAATAAATGGCTTACCTGAGAAGTAACTTGAGATGAATGCCTTTAAAATAGGGAATGACCCAGTAATCCTGACCTTTTTCCTTACTATTTATCTCATAATGACATTTTGAATAAAGGAAAAATATTTTTTTAAGTAGTCATTTAAGATAGGATTTTCTTGACATTTTTCACAAACTTTCTTTTTTCTGTCCCACTAAGAAATAATCTTCCTATATTGTTCTGAAATGAAAACATAAAGCCAGGTGGTGTCCTTCAAAAGATTCGCCTTGTTTTTCTCTCTCTTGGATAATACTACAGTGCATGAAAACACCACAATATGTATTCTCACTCGTGTTACTTGGTAGCATTGGAGCACCAGAGCAGAGGAGATTCCATGAAAGCAGCAGCAGTGCTGAGAGGGTGCCTTCTTAAACTAAACTTCGCCAAAATATTTAGCTTAATTGCACTGGTTCCAAAACTGATTATTAGCCAGTTACTGCTTTCAGGTGCTCATGTGTGGGATATGTTTGTGAGGGGGAGCTTCTCTTCAAAGAGAAGTTTCTTTCTGTATTTAACACTAACTTTTTTGGTCTTGGATGATGACCTGAAATGTTCAGAGACGTTTCCCAGGGTACCTATCTCACTCCTTGGCTCAGACTGTGACTTCTGCATCCTCCTTCCAGCTGGTGGAGGCAGGACCCTGGGGCAGCGTGCCGCTAACCCCTGCCAGCCGGGCGCCCCGTGAAGTCATTTCACAGGGCAGCCCCTTCTCCATCCGTAATGCTGCATCTCATCTCTGAAAAGTAACCCGCTATGTAGGTGTTCTTTCAGTTGTTAAATTTATTAACGTGTTTCTTACCATGTTAGGAAAGTTGTATCTTCAGTTACATGAGTTAATTTTTTTAACGTGTGTAAAAGAGAAACATTGGTTTGGGGGTATATGTGCTCATTTTCTAATCAGTCTTCTGTTAAAACACAGGAGGGCGGGAGCTGTGACTTCAGAGAACACCCAAGATTATTGCTTATGTCTGTTGTTAGGCCGCCGTGTTTGGAAGAGCTGGTGGAAGAACTATTGTTTCCCCCACCAAAATTTTCAGTGAATTTTTTCCTATTTCAATAGAAAGTTTATTTTTTTACAATTTTATCAATAATTCAAGGTTTGTGGTGTTTATGGTTCTTAAAAATGGCATTACATCTAAAATGGATAATTAAAAAAAAACCTTTTAGTTTAAAGCTAACAGGAAGAATTTGTAGATGAGAGCTCAGAAAATGCTGGATTACCACCTGAAGCAAGCCTAGACACATGGGACATGCCTCCTTAAACACAAATTAGTTGTTCACAGAAATAAGATGTTGCGTTTTTAACAGATAGGCTGTTTTTTGAGAGCTCTCTTTTACACCACAGCAAGATTTCCTATTAAATGTAGAGTAGGCTTCCAGAGTGCACTAGGATCTGTCTTCTGTAAGTACTGAGTAGCTGGCTTCCAGGGCATGCAGAGTGGGAGGAAATTAAAATAGGAAATCAGAGGGTCAGGCTCACAATTAACAGCATGTCAAAAGGCTCTTGGGCTGGCTAAACCCGTGTCAGTGCTGCAGCAGTTCATTACGGCTTTCCAGAAGGCGTGTAGGACTTAGCAGAGAAGCTAATGGCTTTCCCTTGTATCATATGAATGAAAATAGGCTGCGGTGCAATAGTGGGTTATTACACTGAATTTAGTATGAAGTCAGCATGATGGCTGTGTTAAATGATACAGGCTCATAAAGCACATTAAATTCCAGTTGTTGTAAGCAGGCTCTCGGAGCTCTGCCACACAGGATTTGTGTATGGTGAAGGTTTTCCATGGCATCACTGCGAGCCAGGGTCTCCACTTAGGAAGCAAGCTAAGCCAGCGAGAGCGCGTTTGAACCACGGCTGGAAGCAGGAAGGAAACACCGCAGGCTAGAGCAGAGGAGACTCGCTGCATGCGCTTCCATCCCTCCACCTTGGGAAAATGGGTGTAGAGGAAGCTAGGTACGATGACGGTGGTGCCAAGAAAGCAGATGCTCAGCACAGGGACAGCAAAGGGGACAGAAGCGTACCGAGCGCGGTCGGGTTTTGTTGCAGGCCTTGCCAAACAAGAACCATAGCAGAAGGCAGCAGGGCCGCCCTCTGGGAGCCCCGGGCTTCCAGGCTCTCCCACCTTTCCCCTATGATGGTTTACAGGAAACTTTAATTTTGGGGCCTCTTTCTGCTGCCTGCTGTGGAGTGAACCTGCTGAATGTGTGCAGCTTGCCTGT